AGAGAATGAGTGAATGAGTGAGAGAATGAGAGAGAGAGAGAGAGAGAATGCTAATAAAAATACATTTTTTAAATTGATTATTGAAACTTGATTGCACCTCCTTGGACATTAAGGTACACAAGCAGTAATAGCAGTAATATTGACGAGTAAGTTAACTTAATACGTGTTGTGTGTTATTTTTTTACACTTTCTGGGAAAATATAATTTTAAAAATTCTTATCACAAAACTATTTTTTTCTTTACAATTTCTCATTTGAATAACATTTGATTTTCAAGGATTAGTTTGTCGTAATATTTTTTGATCGAATTATAATCAATTTGTACATATTTAATTAATTAACCGGCCATGTCATATGCTTGCTAAATTAACCCCTACATCAACATGAACAAATTTAATTTGCATACTTTACTTCAATATAACTAATTGTTCCTGTATTCTCTCTCTCTCTCTCTCTCTCTCAAAATCAATAAATTAAGAAAAAACTATTTTTCAAACCATTTGACAATATATTTACAAAAACCCAGTCTTTAATGTTTTGTATTCATAATCTTTTTGAAATAATAAAAACAAATTGGAAAAAAGATTTGATAACATAAGACGTTTACTTAATTTTATTTTATTTAGAATCAAATATATTTTACAGTATATAAAAGAATTTTACTGTTAAATCGCGCCATTAGTCAAGTTTTCATTTAATTATACTTTCTTAAAATTGTAACTCATTTTTCATTGAATACGAAAACAAAATATAATGTATTAATACAGATCTGAACTTTTCATTGAAACTCAACTGCTTTCCTATTTAATCGTATTTATCAAATAAACTAAAATTTAATTTAGCGTTTAATTATATAAAAATATTTTGAAAAAATGTTTTGACAACAAGTGTTTTAAATGGCTTTTCCTTTGTGTTCAGCAATATATCACTCGTTGAGAGAGAGAGAGAGAGAGAGAGAGAGAGAGAGAGATTAATAGGTTTACTTCTACGACAAATACTTGGAATTATCAGCATCCCTGAGCTAACCCTGATCATTGGCGCAACTCAATTGAAATATTAAAGTGTATTAAGTTTACACTAAATGTCAGTTTGTATTAAATCAAATTTGTTTCTGAAGTTTATCTGAAAATAAGAAAAATTGTAATTCAATAAAAAAAGATTATTAAATTTAAGAAAATTTAAGAGAATAAATTTAATTATTTAAAAGTCAATATTTCTATCAAAAAATCGGTCAAAATTTATTTATAGAAAATTTATGGCACTTTAAAAACACATATTTTACGAATAAAATGCCAAAATTAAAAGCAAACTTGTATTTAAATAAAAACTTGGAAAACTTTTTCGCAACAAAAACAAAACTTTGCGAAAATAAATATTCATTCAAAAATTATTCATTACATGAAAAAGTTTTTATTTGATATTTATTTTGCAAAATCGTCGAAATGTTAATAATTCTAATGGATTCGGAAATTGAATAAGTTAGTTTTATATCCTATCAAATATTTCACGTTATAATAGGCAAACATAGTATCTATTACTGTACACACGGAATGGTAGTAGTTTTTATTAGTTTTCTTTTATATAATATATGACTAAACATACAGTAAAGTATTCGTGTGGGTCTATTTTTGTAAATATATTGTCAAATGGTTTGAAAAATAGTTTTTTCTTAATTTATTGATTTTGAGAGAGAGAGAGAGAGAGAGAGAGAGAGAGAGAGAGAGAGAGAGATTAATAGGTTTACTTCTACGACAAATACTTGGAATTATCAGCATCTCTGAGCTAACCCTGATCATTGGCGCAACTCAATTGAAATATTAAAGTGTATTAAGTTTATACTAAATGTCAGTTTGTATTAAATCAAATTTGTTTCTGAAGTTTATCTGAAAATAAGAAAAATTGAAATTCAATATAAAAAGATTATTAAATTTAAGAAAATTTTAGAGAATAAATTTAATTATTCAATATTTCTACCAAAAAATCGGTCAAAATTTATTTATAGAAAATTTATGGCACTTTAAAAACACATATTTTACGAATAAAATGCCAAAATTAAAAGAAAACTTGTATTTAAATAAAAACTTGGAAAACTTTTTCGCAACAAAAACAAAACTTTGCGAAAATAAATATTCATTCAAAAATTATGAATTACATGAAAAAGTTTTTATTTGATATTTATTTTGCAAAATCGTCGAAATGTTAATAATTCTAATGGATTCGGAAATTGAATAAACGATAAGTTAGTTTTATATCCTATAAAATATTTCACGTTATAATAGGCAAACATAGTATCTATTACTGTACACACGGAATGGTAGTAGTTTTTATTAGTTTTCTTTTATATAATATATGACTAAACATACAGTAAAGTATTCGTGTGGGTCTCGTAAATGCTGACAATTATCTATTGATATACAAAGCACATATATATACACAGACAGACATACCTGAGCCAATTTGTACCAATTTGAGACTCGGGTCGCAAATGAAATGAAAAGGAAAGGCGCGGCTGAATGTGCGGACAGACATACAGAGATTGTGGGGATCGTTGGACAGCGAGTTCTTATGGCGACAGAAATCGTAATTGGATTTGCATTTACTTATATGATTGGCGGTAATGTCTGTACTCAATGTGAACACATACTGTCCATTGCCGGTGCGTTGACTGACATTTGGGTTGATATTAAACATAAGTCGGGAGAAGTTGTTGAAGAGTCCGCACATAGCGTGCGCCACAAACCCAGACACCGGCTGTTGCGTGAAGTAAGTGACCGTCAGCTGAGTCTCGGTGTCGTTGACGGCCACCCGAATGGGCACTATATTAGGGTCACTACCCGTCCAGAAAGTGTTGGGCGAATCACAGTATGCTTTGCCGGTTATGTCGTGAATGCTCTCTATGTTGACCATAAAGTCGACGAGAGTTCCGCCTAAAAAGCGCAGGGCTTTGGTGTTGAGCTCCAGACAGTGTCGGGCGTACTGTTCCCCGCACTCCACCGCCAACTCTGTCCAGTTGTTTATACCTTTGGATTAAGTGTTGGTTTTAGTCATATTGTGCTTGATCATGTATTTATTTAGATTCAAACCTAATTTTTTAGCAAAACGTTTTGATAAATCTTCTAAATCATCAAATGAGGAATTGGTTTGTTTTGATCCAAAGTCAAGATTATTATCGACTGATCGATGGTCTCTATCTATTGATCTATTAATTAGCTTAAGGTATCGGTGAATATCCAGACCTGACGATTGACTGATAAAATGTACAAAAATATAATCATTTAAATGTATATTTTATCATTATAATAAATTATAATAAATTTTATCACATAAAGTATAATAAGAATAATTTCTAAGTACTGTATATTGGATATTATTATTGCATTAAACCTATAGGAGTTACCGTATAAACTAAAATAATTTATTTAATAACAAATATAAAATGGAAATTATCATCATCAAATTAATGACAATATTATTGCAAGCATATTTAGCATGCAAAACACGAAAAATGAGTATAAAAATGAGTTATAACTTATAACTTATAACATACTGTTATTCTAATAAACAGTTTTTCATTCATATATTCCGGCGCTTTATTGCTCGTTATTAACAGTAATTTATAAGAAATATAAGACAAAAAAGCTTATTATAATAAATAGTAATTCACTGTATATTACGGTACATGAAGTCAAATATATTGTGAGAGACGAGACGCCAAATATAAATGGCTTACAAAGTCTCCTTAAATGATAATTAGTTGCTATCATCTTATTATTGAGTTTCCAAAGTAAATGCAAATATAATTTTCAAATTTAATGAATTTGTAAAGATTAGGCACTAATTCTTCACAATTTAAATGAATTTCGTATTTTTCTCGCCTTTTCAGAGATAATAGGTTTCGCTATTTAAATAAGTCTAGCGTTTAAAGCAATCATTTCATATGAGAACTCATATAAATTGACAAATAAATTGCTTTTTTAAGTCATATTTTCTTATATAAAATATACCATTTATTTTGTGGTTGTCAATCTAGCTTATTGTATGATATTTTGTAACTTCAGTTCATTTCACATTTTACTTGACTTTTAATTAAAATCATTTCAAATAAGTTATACTTTTTATAAAGAAATTCAAACAGAAAATGTAATAATAATAATGACTAGTGATAAAACTTTTTAAAATAAATAAATTTGAAATAAAATTATGATTGACTTTAATAAGATTTATAGACTTTTCATAATTCATTTGATTACGAAAATCTCCGAAAATGCATATAAAATATTATTTTTCTTATAAATACAAAAATGTTTTCATTTGATTAATATATTTATGGTTTTATTTGATTATGATTTAAGAGGAATACGAAGATATTTTAATAAATATTTAAATAGTTGCTTAAAATAAAATGTTTGCACATAATTTGGCATTTGAGACAAAAACACATTACCTATTTTTATATCCAATATAAATTCTGAATTTCATATATAAAAATCAAACCTATGTTAAATATTATATTTAAAATATACATTGTTATAGTTTACGTATTATATTTAGTTACAAAACACAATGTTTTCTGAAAATAAATGCCTATTTTATACCGTAAAATAAAAGCATAAAAATGATAGCAATAAAAGTGAATATTGAATGAAATATAAACTCGGTAAAAATGATAATAATAGACAAAATGCTTACACAGTTTCGCTCCAAACTCTGTTATTTTTCTTTTCGATGACATCTTTGAAGATATTTATGAGTTCGTGAGCCTAACAGACAAAAGTGATGCCAATTAATAGACAATACAATTAGAAAAATAAGTTGTTTTTCGTTTTGTGTACTGAATGAACATGAGAAAATAAAATAACACATAAATTTTAATAAATCTGCAATAAATTAGCAGTTATTATACACATTTATATCGTAGTAATAAAAAATAATAATTTTTCTTTTGTTGTGCTTTTTATAGTGTCTGTCAGTTATTGCATAGTATTTGCCAAACAAAACCAAAACACAAAAATTATTTATTTATTTAAATTGACTTTTAGTTAATATATATTTTGAATTATTATTATTATTATTTGTGTGTTATTTTATTTTCTCATGTTCATTCAGTACACAAAACGAAAAACAACTTATTTTTCTAAT